ACAGGAAGTGGCGTGGCTGGGCCCCGGCCCCCCAGCCCAGCTGCCAGTCACATTGCTTGGGGGAGCGGAGCGACCCAGCTGGGAGATGGCAGAAGGGAGCAGGCTGGGCTGGGTCACTCCACTTCCCCCCGCCATGGTCAGTGCGGGGTGCCAGCCTCTCTCCCGCCCCCGGCAATTCTCCAGGGACCACGAAAGCACAGGGCCCGTGGTGGCTGCCCCGAACCGCCCAATGGCCGGGATAGCTCTATCCGGCCGTGCGTGTGCGTGTCCTCCAGGGGCTAGGCTGGGATCCCTGGGGTGGAGTCACAGGTCTGAAGGCCAGCAGGGCCCATTCTGACTAGGGATGTTAAGGTCTAGTCGACTAGTTGACTGTCCCACAAGCAAATGCTTATTGGATAGTCGACTAGTCACTTCTCCCCCTCACCTTGCTGCCTCTATCAGATAGAGCCGGGGTCAGCTGCTCTGTGTGGCGCTCTCACTTTGAATGCCGCGGGTGGCATTTCAAAGCAGCAGCGCCGCTTGGAGCCCGGGGTCAGCTGGGGATTCCGCAGAGGCGCTTCAAAGGGGCAGCACCGCCCTATCGACTAATCAGTGCAAAAATGCATGGACTATTCAATGAGTCAGTTACACGATAACCTCCTTAATTCTGACCACACTTTTTGGCTTCCTGCACTGAGCTGGCTGGGCGGGAGGGAGAGAGGAGGTGGAATCTGCAAAGGAAAGTTTCCTTTGGAAAATGCCATTTCAGCTCAACACACTTTTTCACTAAATCAGACCATTTTCAAAATGAAACCTTTTCTGGTAAAGAAATGTAGGAAAAATGCAAAACACACGTATTTTATTTTCATCTTTCTATTGTTTTTACATTATTTCATGACCGGTCACTGAGAGCAATGCGGCACAGGACATAGACTCCCCTGGGTGTGCCGTGGCTTTTTATTCATTTTGTATGTGTGTTAGCACAGCAACGTAGGAGCCCCAGTAATGGAGCAGGCCTTCACTGCGCTAGGTGCTGTACAGACACACAACAAATAGATGTTCTGTTTCTCTCAAAAGCCAATTGCAGTGCTGCGCCCGCAATGCAGTGCATGTCAAGAGACATGAGATCTATACAGATAGACGGGGAGGGGGAGAAAACTAGGGTTGCCAGGTGTCCGGTATTGACCCAGACAGTCTGGTATTTTCGCCTCCTGTCCAGTAAAATATTTCAGAAAATCCCAGGTGCTTACCGGGTTCCACAGGGGAGATGTCCGGCCCGGAGCAGGGAGACAAGATAATGGACAGCCGCCGGCAGGCTGTTAGAGCCAAAAAGCCTCAAAAGCATTTCTTAAAGGGGTCATACTGGTTTTTTTTTAAATATTATTTTTTATTTTTTGCTCAACAACTTTGGTCTCCCCTCTTTTTTTTTTCTCAACAGAGTTTTCCCCCCGGTGTTGTTGTTTTGTTTTTTTTGCAGGGGGGTGGATAGCGGGGGGAGGTTGGGTATTTTTGGTTAAACCATCTAGCAACCCTAGAGAAAACCTTCATTTTCTGTCCAGATCTGCTCACAGCCAGTCAGGGGAAGGGGAGGATCAAGTTTTTTTTCTTCTGCATCATCTTTGGATAAAAATCAGACTTTATTTGTACATTGAAAAAAAATCCATTTTTTTCCAACAAAAAAGTGTTGAGGTTTTTGTTTTCTCTCCAGCTTTTCCTTGTCCCCCCAGCAGCTAACCAGTAGAAGGAGGGAGGAAGAGGAGAGAGGCAAGGATGGGGAAAAACAGAAAGAGGAGGGGAAAAGGAGGAAAACAAAGCCTTGGAGTTTCAGTTTGGGTTTTGTTGAACAACTTGGAAAGTTTCCTACAGAAAACAGAGCTCCGTGGAAGAAAAGATGGACGATTTCCTGGATCGTTCTGCCCAGCGCTTCCGCAGCGGGCAGGCTGTTTGGACAAGCACCCCACTCACCTAGCGCGCTGACGCTCCGGTAATTCTCGTACATGGTGTCCCGGTACAGCTGCTTCTTCTCCTCATCCAACAGCTCCCACTCGGCCTCCGTCAGAGTCACAGCCACGTCCTCGAACTGCACCGGCACCTGCAACCACAAATGCATCTTCCTCAGCACAGGCCACTCCAGGGCTATGCCCTGCTCACCACTGCTTGTGGTGTGGACCAATCCCCCCTCCCCACCTCTGCCAGTCCTCCCTCCCTCCCAGAGCCAGCTGTTCCAGGGCCAATCCCTGAAGTCAGGGGATCAGGCGCAGAGGCAGGGCAGGGCCATGTGTTGAGGAAACAGGACCTGCAGAACGTGGGTGAGCATGGTGGAGGCAGGGCTGCCTGGGGCCTGGTGATTTATAAGGGCCTGTGGCTCCCACACTGCCTTGCCAGAGGCAGCAGCTGGATCCCCGGGCCCTTTAAACCATCGCTGCAGCCCCTAGGGTTGCCAGATGCTTTCACAAAAAATACCGAACTCCCCCAAAAAACACTGGGGAAAAAATTCTGTTGAGCAAAAAAAACCCCCCCAAAAACCGCCCCCCCTCCCCGGAAAAGTTGTTGAGGGTTTTAAAAAAAAACAACTCACAACAACAAAAACCAGGGCCAAAATGCAGTCACGGCTCTTTTAATTCCCGGGCCGCGGTCCCCCCTCCCTCCACCCCAGCCAGTGCAAGCTGTGTTGCGTGTCCCCGGGAAAAACAGAAAATACTGGACATTTTAAATTTCCCAATTTTTTTACAGGACGGAAGATGGAAATACTGGGCTGTTTGGTTCAATACCGGACACCTGGCAACCCTAGGTAGTGCACACCAGCGGTGCTGAAGGGCTAGGGAGGGGGAGCTAATTCTAGCCCCACCCCTTCCGCCCAAGGCCCCACCCCTTCTGGGAGGCCCAGCAAAGTGTGCCCTCAGCCCTGGGTGGGGTTAGAATACTGACAAGGCTACTGGTCCATCACTAGCTGGAAGTGGTAAACTTCTCGATAATATTCTAAAAAAGACCGAAGTGTTCAGCACATATTTCTGTTTTGTATTGGGTTTTGTCTCACCGTATCATGAATATAACACTCTTCCACTCCTTGTCTCTGGAAGGTGTTAAACAGAAGCTACTGAAGTCAGACATTTGTCAATCAGCAGGCCCATATAATGTGCATCCAAGAGTTTTAAAAGAGCTGGCCTAGGAGCTTGCTGGCCCATTAGTATTACTATTCAATACGTCTTGGAGCACTTAGGAAGTTCCAGAAAACTGGAAGAAAGCTTATGTACCAATTTATAAAACTGGTAAATGGGACGACCGGAATAATTATTGGCATGTCAGCCTGACATCAGGTCAAGATAACAGAGGGACAGACACAGGACTCAATTAACAAATACATAAAGCAGGGTAAAGTAATGAATGCCATGAAACATGGGTTTATGGAAAATAGGTCCAATCAAATGAACTAATTTTTTTTTAGGGGATTACAGGTTTGACTGACAAAGGTAATTGTGTTCACATAATATACTCAGATTGCGTAAGGTATTCGACTTGGTACTACACAACATTTTGATTACAGAACCAGCATGATATAAAATTAACATGGCTCACATGAAAGGGACCAAAACCAGACTAAACACGAGGGCTGTGTCTACACTGCACTCCTTTTCCGGAAAAGAGATGCAGATTAGACAAGTCACAATTGCAAATGCAGCGGGGATTTACATTTCCTCCCTTTCATTTGTATAAACATGGCTGCCGCTTTTTTCCAGCTCGGGGCTTTGCCAGAAAAAAGCGCCAGTCTAGACGGGGATCTTTTGGAAAATAAAGCCTTTTCTGAAAGATCCCTTATTCCTGATTTTAAGAGGAATAAGGGACCTTT